ATCAAAAAATTTCTATATGTGACACGGCACCAGAGTTAAGTTAGGGTTTTTCAAAATGCTGACACGCCGAGCTCAAAAGGTTCGCCATCACTGCTCTAGGTTCATCCATGATGTAGCATAAGTCAGCACTTCTTTGCTTTTTGGAGAATCCAAGTGGGTGAAGAGGACAAAGCAAGTCAAGTCCACAGCTTCAAAGTTCGTGAGAAGGGTGACCTGCTGGGCATCGACCATCTGCAGACAAACCAGTTTTAAAATGTCACATTTGCCTGGCGGGTATGGCTCAGTGGTTGAATATTGACCCAGGAACCTAGAAGTCACTTGTTCCATTCCAGGTCAGGGCACAAGCCCGGGTTGAGGGCTCGGTCCCCAGTGGGGGCGTGTGCAGGATGCAGCCGGTTGATTATGTTTCTCTGTCATTGATCTTTCTGTCTCTCTATCTCTCTCCCTTCCTCTCTCTCTAAAAATCAATAAAAACATATATTTTAAGTCACATTTGATATCATATCTACTGAAGATGTGGGCATCTTTGACATCAAATCCAGATTCCTGGGTGTTGAGATGGAGAAGGTGTGGCTCCATATTCAGGATTTACTTGAGATGCCATCTCAAGGAGTAGCTTTAAGGGAAATGTTTGATGATGTTAAAGTGAATGTAAACCTTGGCATATACCAGCTGAACAAGAAAATCCGTGACCCAGCTGGTGTGGGTCAGTGGTTGGGCATCGACCTATAAACCAGGAGATCAGGGTTTGATTCCTGGTCAGGGCATATGCCCAGGCTGTGAGCTAGATCCCTAGTTGGGGGAGGGGCATGCAGGAGGTACCCAATCAATGATTCTCCATCATTGATATTGCTATCTCTCTCTCTCTTCTCTCCCTTTCTCTCTGAAATCAATAAAAATATATTTTTTTAAAAAACCGAAATTTCATGGAAAGTGAAATGCCTGTGGGAATTCCATAGATTTTTTTATCACCTGGATAAAGAAATGAATCTGTTCAGTATTTTTGTTTTTAAACATGATTGCAATCACTGCTTACAAAAATGTCATATTTTTAGAAAAGAAGACCGAAAGTGTTCGGAAGAATGTACCTTTTCGGTCACTGGATACTACCGCACAGTGATACGCAAAATGGATGACTCTAAACACTTCCACATATACTGTGGAATAGGTACTCTGATGGAAAACTTAGAGCATTCTGTGATTTGTTTTTTTTTTTTAAAATCTTTATTGTTCAGATTATTACATTTGTTCCTCTTTTTTCCCCCCATAACTCCCCTCCTTCCAGCTACCCCACCCCACCCTCCACCCTCACTCCCCACCCACTGAGTTCATCCATAGGTGCATGATTTTTGTCCAGTCACTTCCCGAATCTCCCACACCCCTTTTCCCCCCAAGAATAGTCAGTCCATTCCCTTTCTATGTCCCTGATTCTATTATAATCACCAGTTCATTCTGTACATCAGGTT